TGTTTAATGACCTAAAACCTCCTTGGTGATTTAGTTGCTTCAAGAAAGGCTGATCTAAATTGTAACAGCTCAAAAACTTCCTTCTGACATCAAATTTAGCACCGAAAACTCTGTTTTTTCTAAAACCTGGGAGACTGAATTGATGTGAACTTGTGCTTTTCACAATCAATTTCCACCTTAAATTAACAGCATCACAGCATGATACAGAATTGTATGAGAGTAGTTCCATACCCAGAAACTGAATTCTGCAATGATCAATCAAAACAACAATTCAACAACAATCTGACTTTACCCTTTATTGCATGAGACGAATTGAGTAAATGAAAAAGAATAATTTTCAAATCACATGTTGTATGTAACTTTCATCTCATGCTTCCAAATTTTCCCCAACAAAAAAAAAAAAAATAATAACCCACAACTGATATGAACAGAACTTAATATCAATTACCAATCCTGAACTTCAGTTAATTTGAGAAAAAAAGATTAAACAAAATTAGCAACCAGTAGCTTTGCTGCACAACTTTAAAAGAAACACACAGATTTATAGCAAAAGAAGAACTATAGAAAAAATGATTTCTTTATTGTTCTGGGTTACCTCTAAAGTGAGCAGCGTAGTGTCATTAGAGTTGCGATGCTTTGTGGAATCCTCAGTCTTCTCCAAGTATTTAGCTGCTTGCAAAACCTAGAGAGAGAGAGAGAGAGAGAGAGAGAGAGAGTTGGGCAGTTGATTACACGCTTCTTCTTGCTTTAATAACCAAGGAAAAAAAACGAACTTTTAAATTTGTGTTTCATATCCTTTTGCTAAATATCAATCAACCGACCAAAAACACGACAAAACATTAGTTGAGGCTTGCACGCTGTCAAGGTCTTGTACCTGCTGATGTAAATGCTTGTACCAAGCGTTTTGCTATTTTTTTATGGGTGTTGATTTTTCCACTCCCTTTTTATCCACCTACACTCTTTTATATTTTTTTTAATACTTTTTACTATAAAATTAAAGGGAGTGTAAATGAACAAAAAACGAGTGAGAACATACAATTTAAAAAAAATGAAATGTAAGTGGATAAAAGGGGAGTGAGAAAATTAGTACCCTTATTTATTTATTTTACGTTTCTCACCTCATACTGTTTCTAATAATTCCAAATCTAAATGGTGTGCTTCTCATTTTAGAATGATAATTTCTAGTCCTAGTTATTTGATCTAATGGCATTCAGTCTTTAACTTGTGGTGGCCAACGTGAATTCTTACATGTTGCTGTAAGGGAATGTTTGAGAATACTTTTGCAATGGTTAAAAGTGATTTTTAACCACCAAAAACACTTACGATGAAATTCAATACCAAAATTTTAAAATGCCTATCAATAATAAAAGTATTTCCCTAGTAGGTGCTTCTTCAAAAGCATTTATATTTCGGCTTTTGCTAAGAAAAACGCTTATAATAAAAGCGTTTATGAGTGCTTCTTATAAAAAGTAATCCTAAATAAGCCCTTAATAATTTAAAACAAATGTACAAATAAATAGATATTGACTTTAGAAAATATGAATGCCCGAACAAGGTTGGGAAGAAAAAGCAAAATTTAAATTTAAAAAAAAAAAAAACCAAAGGAAGGAAAATAAAAACCTGACAAAGACAAGTGTGTGGAAAGACTCCGAGAACTTGTTTGTCCTTTTCCACGGAGCTGCACTCTCACCACATGGAAGTGAAAAGCTAACGTCAATGTCATTGGCTCAACTAGATTTTTCCGAGCTAGGCTTGTCTGGAACCGAGATTAGATTCTACCTGCTGCACTTGGGCGGCAGCCTCAATCAGTTATGTAGTGGGCCACATTGGAAGGTTATTTCAGAAGATCCAAGGTTTAATTGCTTGTATGATGAATTGGCATGTGGAACTGTAAACACGTGTCCGGGTGTAGCGCAGATGGGACCAGTCACTTGCAGTGGCGTGGAAACAGAAACAAGCCACCTCTTTACGGAAATGGGATGGAGCTATCCTGCGCTGTATTGCTTCACACGTTAATGCTTGAAAATCGAGTGTTCAACGTTGTCTTCATGTTGGTCTAGGAAAACGAAACGATTGCAATTATTTTTTGAAATTATTATTTTCGAAAATATGGCATATTATATATCAAGTACTATCTCCCATAAGGGAAATTTATAATAAACCCTATTTCTAGCATAAGAATAAAATTGGGTATAGTATGCTAATAAGAGGTCACCATAGTGGTCGTGGCCCTCCTTCTCCCCTCCTGCTTGGCACTCAGAATCGATATTGAGGGAAAGGGGAGTTGAACCTAAGATCTTGGTGCAATGGTAAATACTCTTAACCACTTGAGCTACAAGTTCCTTCCGCAACGGTGCAATTTGATCAATGATATAATGGATTAATTGAGAAAAGTGCAGATCATTAAAAATAAAATGATAATTTCTAGTCCTAGTTATTTGATCTAATGGCATTCAGTCTTTAACTTGTGGTGGCCAACGTGAATTCTTACATGTTGCTGTAAGGGAATGTTTGAGAATACTTTTGCAATGGTTAAAAGTGATTTTTAACCACCAAAAACACTTACGATGAAATTCAATACCAAAATTTTAAAATGCCTATCAATAATAAAAGTATTTCCCTAGTAGGTGCTTCTTCAAAAGCATTTATATTTCGGCTTTTGCTAAGAAAAACGCTTATAATAAAAGCGTTTATGAGTGCTTCTTATAAAAAGTAATCCTAAATAAGCCCTTAATAATTTAAAACAAATGTACAAATAAATAGATATTGACTTTAGAAAATATGAATGCCCGAACAAGGTTGGGAAGAAAAAGCAAAATTTAAATTTAAAAAAAAAAAAAACCAAAGGAAGGAAAATAAAAACCTGACAAAGACAAGTGTGTGGAAAGACTCCGAGAACTTGTTTGTCCTTTTCCACGGAGCTGCACTCTCACCACATGGAAGTGAAAAGCTAACGTCAATGTCATTGGCTCAACTAGATTTTTCCGAGCTAGGCTTGTCTGGAACCGAGATTAGATTCTACCTGCTGCACTTGGGCGGCAGCCTCAATCAGTTATGTAGTGGGCCACATTGGAAGGTTATTTCAGAAGATCCAAGGTTTAATTGCTTGTATGATGAATTGGCATGTGGAACTGTAAACACGTGTCCGGGTGTAGCGCAGATGGGACCAGTCACTTGCAGTGGCGTGGAAACAGAAATAAGCCACCTCTTTACGGAAATGGGATGGAGCTATCCTGCGCTGTATTGCTTCACACGTTAATGCTTGAAAATCGCGTGTTCAACGTTGTCTTCATGTTGGTCTAGGAAAACGAAACGATTGCAATTATTTTTTGAAATTATTATTTTCGAAAATATGGCATATTATATATCAAGTACTATCTCCCATAAGGGAAATTTATAATAAACCCTATTTCTAGCATAAGAATAAAATTGGGTATAGTATGCTAATAAGAGGTCACCATAGTGGTCGTGGCCCTCCTTCTCCCCTCCTGCTTGGCACTCAGAATCGATATTGAGGGAAAGGGGAGTTGAACCTAAGATCTTGGTGCAATGGTAAATACTCTTAACCACTTGAGCTACAAGTTCCTTCCGCAACGGTGCAATTTGATCAATGATATAATGGATTAATTGAGAAAAGTGCAGATCATTAAAAATAAATAACAACAAGCCAATAGGGAAACAAAAAATTAACAAATTAATATGCATGAACAGTCAAAGAAATTAAATCATAAAATAAAATTTTTTCTTAGATATATAATATGTAATTCAATTACAACAACTTTCATCCAACAGAATAACAACAAGCCAATAGGGAAACAAAAAATTAACAAATTAATATGCATGAACAGTCAAAGAAATTAAATCATAAAATAAATTTTTTTCTTAAATATATAATATGTAATTCAATTACAACAACTTTCATCCAACAAAGATCTCTTATTAGAATGATGAACTTTAAAGGAACATCAAGAATATTTCATCCATCAGTAGGCACTTCAAATCGGCAAACAGGACAATAGTGGCTTTGTTTGAGCCATGTCACTATGCACTTTTCATGAAACAAATGTGAGCAAGACATGCAAGCGATTTCTGATCCCCCATTAAACTCTTCCATGCAAACAGTGCAACTATCACTTTCACTTGCACAAATTTGCCTTCTTTTTCTCTCTCGACGCCCCTCTTCCTCATCATCCTCCTCCTCCTCATCCCCATCACCCACTCTAACCCTCTTTAAAACCTTCTCAATCGCTGAATCGCTCGCCAGGACCATGCCCTCGTTAATACCATTGCTCATTAATAGAGTCACCATCTTGTTGAACAACAGAAAGAAAGAAAGAGTTGCAAAGAACAGTCGATGAGGCAATAGAGCGAACATGTAGTAGGCAAAGCGTAGAGAACAATTCTTGGCACTATCGTGAAGAAAGAAAAGCCAAAGAACCAGAAGCAAGAGAACAAAGATGAGTAGAGATTGGAAGGGGGAAGCAGAAAAGCTCGGAATTGATCAAGTACATTGAAAATTCCCAAAACCGAGTATCAATTGAGTATTATCCCAAAATCAACAACAAAACCCAATTGAGACGTCCTCAAATCAAATATGAGACTGAAAAATCCCAAATAACAAGCTGAATAGAAACACTAAAGGCAGTTTGATGAAATTGATAATTCAAGAATGAAGTGGAAGAATCAGATATAGACGTCGATTTCCATGAAGTTCTAGAAAAGAATGTCAAGGCATAGAAAGCGGAAGCATAAGAACGCAGGAATAAACCCAGGCTAGGTCCCTTAACTTTTCAATGTGGGACAAATACTCTTAACACGCCCCCGCACGTGTGGCAAACTTTCAAGTTAAACACGTGGACAACACATATTGAGTGACGTGGAGCACGTGTGGCCGTTGGGCTTTCACACATGGGCTAACCTGCTCTGATACCATGAAGGATTTGTCCCACATTGAAAAGTTAAGGGACCTAGCCTGGGTTTATAAGGAGTTGGGCTACTCCCCCTATTGTCAATTGGTTTTGGGGTGGAACCTCAACTTCCTTCATGGTATCAAAGCCCTTGGTGGCTCACGCCTTCTCGATCTACATGAGTTCTTTGTCTTCCGCCTTCTTAATCTGATCTTCTTCTTCATCTTCTCCACTTCTCCTCTCTGCCACACCTAATTTCTAATCTTCTTCTTCGTTCTGCAAAACCTAATTTCTTCAATTGCAAATATGCAAAACCTAATTTCGTTTCCTGTACCTCTTCCCAACCTCGTTTCTTCCTAAAGCTTTCAGCTATGGCTTCTTCTCTCAAGGTTGATGGTTTCCTTGGCTTCTTTAGTGTTTCTATTCAGCTTGTTTTTTTGGATTTTCAGTCTCATATTTGATTCGAGGACGTCTCAATTGGGTTTTGTTGCTGATTTTGGGATTATACTCAATTGATACTTGGTTTTGGGAATTTTCAATGTAATTGATCAATTCCGAGCTTTTCTGCTTCCCCCTTCCAATCTCTACTCATCTTTGTTCTCTTGCTTCAGGTTCTTTGGCTTTTCTTTCTTCACGATAGTGCCAAGAATTGTTCTCTACGCTTTGCCTACTACATGGTCGCTCTATTGCCTCATCGACTGTTCTTTGCAACTCTTTCTTTCTTTCTGTTGTTCAACGAGATGGTGACTCCTACTCAACTTCCACTTGTTCAATCTCCGATTGCAACTCTCATTCCAACTGTTTCTACATACATCTGTGACAGTCAAGCTTGCTGATACAGATTATTGGACTTGGCATTTCCAAATGAATCTTCTTCTTGAAGGTCATGGCCTCTTGGGTTTTGTGGATGGTTCAAGGAAATGTCCTGCACATTTTGATAAAGATTTAGATCTTGAAGGTGTTGAGATTGATGCTTATCAAGTCTGGAAGATGCACGATCATGCCTTGATGCAGCTGCTTATTGCAACTCTCTCTTCCACTGCAATTCTGCTATTTGGGTCCTATGGATGTTCTTCTGGTTGGGTATGTCTATTGTTCATCCTCTATCTCTTTGATTTCAATAATTGGAGAATACCTATAGTCGAAGATTCAAGCTTTCTATTCACCTTTGCTTGCTATAAAATCAACTTCATGATCTTGAATACATCACCATTGATCAAATATTGATGGTTCATTTGTTATCTGCTCTGTTAATTTTCTTGTGCATCCAAAATCTCAGTACCCCTATTCTTGACTCTTAAGAAAATCTTCAATCAATTACTCCTTACATGGTTCTGTCACAATTCTCTTCTCTCACTCTTCTTATCTCAGGGGACAAAGAATTTCCCATTTCATTCTCTTCTATCTCTTTCTTCTTATCTCAAGGAACAAAGAATTTCTCATATCTCGTTCTCTTCTATCTGTTTCTCCAATCTCAAAGGAACAAACTCCTTTATACAGTCTCTAAGGGAACCAAAGAATTTATTAATTCTTCCTCTTTTCTATCTTCTTTCTACAATCTTCAGGGAACAAAAGAATTTCCCACTTCTTCTTGCTTTCTATCTCATTTCTCTAAATTCTCAGGGAACAAGAATTTCCCTGTTCTCTTCTTCTATCTCTTTCTAGAATTTTCCTCTCCTCTTCTTCTATCTCGTTCTTCTTCTATCTCTTTCTAGAATTTCTCTCTTCTCTTCTTCTATCTCTATCTCGATGTGGGGGTCTGATTACATCATTGATTTGGAAGGGTTGGTAAATCTCATGGGCACATAGTTGGTAATGGTCAATCAGGTTGGGAAATTAGTTGACTGGACGAGTTGATGGTATCTCTGGATCAGTGGAAAGTAAAACGATGGAATCTTTGCTGGGTTATAAGCTTCACATGCAGCTCACTATAGCAGTACTCTTCTATCTCACGCTTTGGATTGGTGCTCCACGCAAAACAAATATGTAGTCTACTCAGCTTCAACTACAGCACATTCAAGGCTTTTCTACCTTTTTGGTTTAGACATTGTTCCAATCTCATGGTTGGCTTCTCCACCCATAATCTTGCGGGGGGATGTTAGAGTATGTAGAGCTAGGATTGTTACAAGTGTCACTTAGTCATTGACTGATGTTAGAATTAGTTAGTAAGTTGTTGTAACCAGTTAGAGCCTTATAAAGCTTAACTCTCTGTATCGTAAAGAAAACTGAGAAAATAATACAGATTTGTTCATCTTCTTCTTAACTCTCTCTACTTCTCTTTTGTTAACAGCAGGGAAGTCTTCCATGGAAATTAGTCAAGGATGGAAACTCAATTTCAGAATTGCTTTGGTTATTTTGAAGAAGTAATATATAGCGTCGAGTAGATATAGTTCTAACAAACACATATATTTATATAGGGATGGTGGGTTTCCATATTGGTTTAGGATTGAGAAACGAATGATCAAGAGAGTTGACTTTCTTGGTTGAAAATTTTACGAAAATGGGCCTTTATATGAAATTGGTAAGCACAGGCCAATTACTTGTTACTCTTTTTGTTTTCGAGAAAAATTGTTCGTTACTCTTTTTTTGGGTTTACATACCTTTTTGGTTATTGAGTTTTACACAAAATTTCAATTTAGTTGTTGAAATTGTTTTTAACCGAATTAGTCATTGTATTATCTAAAAGTTTACAATTTATAGACATGTCTTTAGTTTTCCATTAACTAGCTGGGTTAAATACTCTTTGGGTCATTGATTTTTACATAAAATTTCAATTTGATCACTGGGAAAAAAAAAAAAGTTTAAAAGCCATGCAAATCATATGGTCTTACACAAGCTAACTGTAACCTAAAAATTTATAGTAGGTGTATCATCAATTAAGACTAAAAATATGCTTTAATTAATTCATGATAACGAGTTTTAACAATCCCCTCAAACAGTCGAAGTATACGACATAAAAACAATAGCAAAGAGATAAGGTCTTGTTCTTTTCTTTCTTTTCGTAAATTTTGAACAGCTATAAATATCCAAATTAGAACATATATAAGAAACTACTACCCTCCGTTTGGATGAGGGAAAATAACTCGGAATTTAGCTAAAAGTCGGGAATTTAAGATGGGAAATTGACAATTCCCTTGTTTGGCAATTTAAGCGCGGAATTTATTAAATGACGCGTGGAAAAAATCATGGAAATTGAGGCATCAAATTCCCGAGTTTAATTTCCACCAAAATAGGCGTCATTTCACA